TCTTTCTGAGCCGCTCACTCTTTCCAGTACCAGCTGAAGAGGATTCCAATAAACATATTGCTGAAATGTTTGTTTCCGGGTGTCATTTTAGACTGCAAGTAGCTAAAACAGACCCAGCTCCTATATATAGACGCTGCATTTGGTTGTGCTCTAGGAGGTTTTTATTACTACGCTTCTTGGCCAGCTCCCAGCTGAGCCTTTCCCTCAGATTTTGGAATTAGGAAGTCAAAGAGGATCACTGACCATATTAAGGGTCTCTTTCTCTCTCTCTCTCTCTCTCTGTTAATGCTCTGGATGCCAGGTTAGACCGGCTCTTCCCTCTGCTCAGAGCCTCCTAGTATTAATGATGACAGCACTGATGGGAAGAGACCAGCCCCACTGTGGCAGTGAACACAAGCTCCCCTGCCATCTGAAGGAAACAATTTGTGTCAAGATGAAGTATCGCATAGCCTAGTCTAGATAAGAGGACCCAGAACCCCTAGTGGATAGAACAAAGTGAGAAATTCCTAAAGGTGTTTTGTTTATTTTTCTTTTTTTCTTTCCTATTTTTGTTTTGTTTTGTTTTGAGGGTGTGTGTTAGAATTTTCCGGGGGGGAGGGGGTTGGTATGCTAGGACCACAAAGGTGAAGGAAAAAAGCTGAGGTGGTGGCAAGCGAGGAGAAACTGTCAGCATGAGTGGCGAAGAAGAGCTTCTTTAAGGAGACAACGTTGGACTCTGGTTTTTAAAAATGTGCCCTGTCCCTGAGACAGTCTCTCCACTGTGTGTCCTTTGTTTTTCCGGCCCCATTTCCCAGTGTCTTTCTTCACCTGCCTCTGGGGTCTTGTGTTAATTCAGCACGGATCTAACTGCCTTTCTGGTCTCCATCTTTCATGTCCTCACCACCCCTCCCTCACTTTCCTCCTTCCCTGTTTCATCCTCCCCTCTTGTGTTCCCCACTTCTCTCTCCCAGTCCTTCATCCTCCCAGATTCCTCTTTTCCAACCATCCTGTCCTCCCTCTTCCAGTTCACTTCTTTCTCCTTCTGTCCCCCCTCCTCCTCACCTTCCTCCCTTCCCTTTCCCTTTGCTTTCTTCTCTCCCTTCTTCTCCTCTTTTCTCTGCCCCCCAACTGCCTTTTATCCTTTCTCTCCTCTCTCCTTCCCCATCTCCCCATCCCTTCTCCTTGCTCCTCTCCCTTTCCTTTCTTCCTCTTTCCCTGCTCTCCCTCTCTGTCCTCTCTCGTCCTCCTTTATACAGACAGCTCCAATTTCTTGCCTTCTAGATTTACCTGCAAACCAAGACACGGCTCCTCCTGCAAGAACTGTTTAGGAAATCCATATCCTCTCTTTTCATTCCTTGGGCATTTCAGAAATGATATTCCTCCCCCAACTACCCCGTCAAAATAAAATGAATTCAGCCAGCCCCTGCTGTGTGTCCTTAGATTCATTCCCTGTAGCTTCGCTGGTTTGAAAGCCTGTACCCTAGAAGGGGCCTCCTGCATTTGCTGGCAACCCTGCTTGAGTCTGATCGCCACAGATAGTGCTTTGGAGTAAAAAAAAGGGGGGAAAAACCCTCTCGTTGGAGATTTCAAAACAGATTCTACCAGCTTTCAAATCTGTGCACTTTGCGGAGTGGCAGGGTTTGAGGGAGAGGGCTTGAAGACTTGGGGTGTGGGTGTCTTTCATAAACAAATAAGCAACAGAATTTATATATGTATAAATTTGGGCTTTCCTTTGGCATGTTTGGTGTCTGTCTCCCTGGCATCAAGGGTGGGTGCTGTGTAAGTCTGACTTCTCTCACACACTTTTGCTCCGGCTTGGGGTATGAGTGTCTGTGTGAGTGTGTGTGATAGAATTGAGGAGGGGGTGGCTGTGTTTTTGATCCGATTCACTTGACAGATTATTTGAATCCAGCCCACCTTTCCGCACATGTCAAACAGATGGGATCATTGTTAAAAGCCTGGAGAGCCGGGCTGAGCGGTGGGTAAGGCAGGGAGGGGGAGGTAGGAGGGGCACCGAGGGGAAGGAGGGGGCACCTTCCAGGAGCTTTGTGTTTTCACACATTGGAGCTGACAGGAGACCTTCTTCTTTGTGGGTGGGGGGAGTGTTTGGGGGCATAGGGCTGATGAGGGGGGATGGAAAGGGAGAGAGGTGGGGTGTTGGTGGGCAGGGTTATGATGTCACAGCCAAAGTTACAACAGGAGGAAAACACAGAAATGGTTCAACATTTTTTTTTAAACTTTGGACTGCCAAGAGCTGAAGGAGAGTGGTGAGCAAAGGAATGGAGGGGGGGAGAGAGAAACTAAACTGGAAGATTGAGTTTTGTGTTGCCTCTTGAAACCTTATGAATGGATTACTAGCAGCTCAGAGCCAGGAGAGTCCTATAGGGGATGCAAGATCACCCACACATTCAAAGGGGGAGACAAGCAGGCGGAACCCTTCCCTGATGTGCTACCCCCCTTCCTGAAATGAATGGTAGGAGATGTTTTTCTGAGGATCCTTGGGGTGGCAAGGGGGGGATGACTCCTTTTCTTACCTGATTATCTTTTTTCCTCTTAAGCTAAGCTACCTTTTCCTGATATCCTTTCTCTCTCTCTCTCTCTCTCTCTCTCTCTCTCTCTCTCTCTCTGTCCCCCTTTCTCTCTGTCTGTCTCTGTCTCTTTTTCTTCCCTGGCTCCCTCCCTCCCTCCTCCTCTCCTCTGCTTTTCTGGCTTTCTTTATTCCCCGCCCCCAGTCTCAATTTCTATTCTTGATCTGCTTCAAGGGGGGAAAACTGAGTCAGGAAAGTGAAGGGAGCTAGGGAAGTGATCTAGAAAAAGGGACAATCGAGGACCAAGGGGTATCTGCTCAGCAACATCCACGTGCCTGAGCTGGGAGCTTCTTTGGGGACTTGCTTGGAGGCTCTATTCCATGCTACATGGGGAAGCAGGGTGCACAGGACCCTGCATCTCTAAAGCAGCTAAGTCAGTGCTCAGCTGGAGTAAAGCAGTTCAGAAAGATAAGGAGACACAGGACGAAGGAAGCACCATGGTCTTACTCCAGAGCATGTGGACTGTGTGATTTAGATATGAGCAGCTGAAGCAGTGATTTTGAAAGTGTAAGTGATTTTTCTTATTGCTTGAGAGAAAGATTCAGTGCCTATTGGTACCTATTTTATACTACCTGTGGGCTAGCATGCCTGTGTCTGGATTTCAGATCTGTTCTCTGCGTGTGTCCATGTGTCTGTCTGTGTGCTCTGTACACGTGCATGTTCCTGTAGGGGATGGAAACCCTGTGAGAAAGCTGGCATCTCACACCTAGGCAAACAACGCAGAGGTTAAACTCACAGTGCTCACTTCGCCTATCTTGCCCATTCATTTCAAATCAATTAAAAAAATAGCTGCCTCAGTTTAGCTGTTCATTTTTGTAAATTACTTATTTTGAGCACCTCATTTGTTTATTTGTTCACTCGGCATATGGTGACTTTTACTAACTTTAGGCTGAGAAACTTCTGAGAGAAAAAAAAAAGACTGCCTCTATGCTAGGAGTGCATGGTGTTTCCATTTAATGCTTCTCACGGCAGGGTGATTGATTTCTCCTTTTCTCCAGTGTCCAATAGGAAGTGGATTCTGGTATTGTCCTTTTAAATCTGAAATGATAGAGTAAAATAAGAAAAAAAAATGAGGCTTGTGATAAATCAAAAGAAAGAGATGTGAATGGTCCCCAAAAGACTAGTGTGTGTTTATTGACTAGGTCCATTCAAAGTGTGTGTGTGTGTGTGTGTGTGTGTGTGTGTGTGTGTGTGTGTGTGGAGAGAGAGAGGCTGCACAGAAAGGCACACTCCAAAACAGTATTGATTGTTTTCTATTGATTGTGTAGGCTGCGACTGCTGAGAGAGAAAGCCCGAGATGTTTACTGGGGAAACCAAGAGGAGCATCTGTCCCCTGTGCCTCTGAGAGGTGGGGGTGGGGGAACTCAGGAGGAAGGAGGGGACAGGGAGTAGGTGGAGTGATGCACCAAACTTATTAGCTTTGACATCATCATTGTCTTTAAATGAAAAAAAAAAGCAGGAAGATAATTGCAGGCAAAGAGAGGGAGAGAAAGGGAGCAGGAGAGACAGGAGGGAACGGGTCCCTTGACCTATATGTGGTTCATATTACTCTTTTTATGCATCTTTCCAGGGACCCACCAGGCTCCCAGAAGGTGAAACCAAGGGTTCTCAGCCTCATTTGGTCAAGAGAGCAGCAGACTGGCCGCCGGAGAACTTTACAGAGACTTGCAGCATACCAACAAGTTGGACGGGGAGAAAAACCTCTCTTCAATAGTCAACAGCCCTGAGCGCCAAGCTGAGGGAGTGCTCACCTACCCAGGCAGACTGGAAGCTGCATGGACACCTGGCTGAGGACATCTGAAGAGCGGAAGTTAAGTACCAGCATAGATTTTTATGCCCCCAGATTATTTTTTTTTTGCATTTTTAGATAACGAGCATCAAACTGTGTCTCAATCTAAAAGTTTTGTTGTTTTGTTTTGTTTACCTAGCAATTTGCTTTAAGTTGAATATGTTTTGGATGGTGGCCTCAAAAAGGAGACCCTAACTCCTAGGGAAGGAAGAAGAGGCAGAAGAGAACATTTGAGAATAAGATTCTATTGAATGAGCAGCTAGGGTGCTGTGTTTTTGAGAGAACTTGGCTTACGTCATACATAGTCTTGTAGTATTAGTGAGGAGAGGCGTGCCTGAAGGAAGAAAAGGAAGCCTGAGGTCTCTGGGAGGAATTTCAAAGTAAGAACAGTTAACTTCATTCTGAAGGACTGAAATCAGGCAAGAAGAGAGGCCAAGGGAGAAGGCAGGAGAAAACCTGGCAGAGCAGCCAGAGGAACAGAAGCCACAGGGGGCTGGCTGAATTCTCAGGACAGGTAGCCAGGTGGGACATATTTTTGGGGCTACTTGAAAAAGTTTGGTTTGTGAATTGTTTCCCTGGTGACTTCAAATCCACGGCTGGTTGTCTTTTTCCTCTTCTCCCTGTCATTCTTGTGTGGGACCCAGAAGCTGACCTCTGGTTCTGAGGAACCAGCTGAGGGAGATACAATGTGTTGGAAGGTCCTGAGAGTCAGCCTGGTGGTCCTGGCTGGGTGGGCATTCAGTACCACCAACTCGGAGCTGGGCTGGACACGCAAAAAATTCCTGGCCCAGAGGGGACAACTGAACCAGGTGTTGGAAGGGGAACACTGTTGGCTGGGGACTAAGATCCGAAGACCCAGAACTGCTCCTCAGCATCATCTCTTTGGGGTCTACCCAAGCCGACCCCAAAGCTACCCAAGGCCCTATGCTGTGGGGAAGAAGCGAACCCAGTATGGAGGATGGAGTCAACCAGGCATAGAGAGACAGGCTCTAAGTGTGGTTCCCCGAGACCTGACTGAGAACCCAGCAGGAGTGAGGAGGGAGCCTGAGCCGCCCGCTGCCCTGTGGGTAGGGGATGGTCCTATTGGGCAATCAGAGCTGCTGAGAGATGATGACACTTATCTTGGCAACGGAGGATCCAAGGAAGCTCTAGGTGAGCCTGAGACTCGGGGAAGCTCAGAAGCTGCTGCCTCCACCATCGCCACCTTTGCGTACCAAAAAAGACCCACAGCAGAGACCCAGAGGAAGGGCCAGGCCAGGTCTAGGCTTCCTCGCCAACTGCTGAAGAGGCAGGCAGAAGATAGGACCAGAGACCCCCAGAATGCCCCTCTTGATTTCCAGCTCTGGTCTAAGAACCCCCTCAAGCACGGAGTTAGTGACAGTCCATTGGAGGGCACCATCCAAAATGGTGGAGGGGGCTCTGCCTGGGGAGCAGAGACCTTTAACCCTCAAGAAGGATTGCCTGTACTGTACTTCTCTGGGAAGAGGGAGCGGCTGCTGCTGCGTCCAGAAGTGCTGGCTGAGATTCCCAGGGAGGCGTTCACAGTGGAAGCCTGGGTGAGACCAGAGGGAGGACAGAACAACCCAGCCATCATTGCAGGTAATGTCCCACTCTACTCCTGGGCTTTCTCAGGTCCTGGGGGTGTGTGGCCGCCTCCATTTCAGTTGCGGGTAGACATAGAACACAAGAAGGGGAACAGGATAAAGCAGACAAGCTAGGAAGGCTTGGCCAGAGGGGCTGTGTGGGTGTGCGGTTTATTTATCAGAGCAGAAGTACCGCAGGCATCATCAGAGGAAAGATGACTCCTACCCACGACATCATTACCGCTATCGATCTCTTGGAGTTCTATACACTGTGCGTGCACTTAGGAGACCTCAGCTTAGCTCGTCCCCCCTTTTAAAGGGAACCGACTTGGATTCTTTGTCAAGGAGGAAGGGGAGTCACACCCTGCTTCCCATAGTCTAGCATGGGATACTCAGGCACCTCTGAAAAGCAGGTGACAGCCCAAGGATGGTAGCAGTGAGTAATGCCCAGCTGGGTCCAAATAGCACGGGAACAAGGCTGCCAGCCGGGAGCTAGAGAGGAAGGCAGCACCTGTTCCAAGTCCTGGGGTCCCCTTTGCTTCACCCCAACAGATCTACTGGGAAAGATGGGCTCTTCCAGGCCAGGGTCCTGACTTCTATCCCTGGTGGTTGTTATATGAAGATCTAACTATGAAAGTGTTATTTATCATGTCCAACTCTATAATTTAACCAGAGACACTGGCTTGGCCTTGTTACCTGTGTTTATTTGATTAACAGAGAAACACCTAGAAGGACAAAGAAAAGGGCTTGGTTTGGAGTTCTTACTGTGAGAGGTTGATTTCTGGCAAGGGGTGAGGGAGGGATTTGACTGTATATTTTATCCTTTGGTTTTTCATTATTCTTTTAGACATTCCGCCAAAAAAGAGTGGGGACAATAAGCACAAAATGTAATGATATGAATGCAAGAGAATGTGACAATGTGACCAGTTAGTTCATACCCTAACTAAAAAACAAACCGATGCTTTTCAGAAAAAAATAATGGCACAAATTTGGATTAGTCAAACCCCCTTTCCTGTTTGTCAGTTCCATTCCATTGATGGGGACACTGAGGCAAGGAGGTTCAGGCTAGGGGGAAATAACCGCCACAATTCCTGAATTCCTAGCTCCTCAAACAAAGCAAAACAAACAAACAAATCCCACTCAGGTTGCCTGAGTGCCTCCAAATGAGTTGCAGACTAGGCAAAAAATCCGGAGGGCAGGAGCCTCCTCCAGTGGGGTGTCGCTGGAACATCCTTGTGGACACTCTGTCTCCCCCTCTTTGGCTGTGATTTCTTATTTGGAATCTGGGATTCCCAGACACTGAGCACTCTCCGGTCATGTGGCTTTGCTTTATTTTAGGTTTGGGTGGGAGAGGGGGTGAGAAAAGGGGCCAGGCTGGAACTAGGTGGGGGCAGAGAAAGAATAAGACGGAAATCCTTATTCTGGGGCCAAAATGGAAGAAATAATGAGATGATTATCTGATCGGAGCTGGCAGCTTCACAGTTTCCCCCAGATGACATCTTCCTGCTGCCTAGTCTGGCTTCCTAGTGCCCATCTGCCAGGGAGACTGCGTGCTTGCAGTCTAGATGGAGGCCCACGGCTCTGACTATGCTTCCTCCTGCAGCAGAAACATAGAGGACCTGGAATCAGTTCCCTGGCTGGGAAGAGTAAGAGGATCCAAAAGGAATATATGTGGGAGGCTCTGAGGGGTTGTTGCTCGGGGCTATTAAAGTCCAATCCTGGAAAACAGGAACACGGCACCTAACCTCTGTATTTACCTCTCCAGTCCTGTCTCACACTCTTCAAGGAGAGGGATTTAAGATTTGACTCCAGGTCCAGGATTCTTGGGCTCCCCTCTGGCATGTATACCCTCATCTCCATGCGCCTCCCTGCCTTGCCTGTCTATCACCAGCAACTGTCTCCATACCATCACAGAACACTTCTAGATTCTTCCCGAGCCCCTCAGAACCCTCTTAGCCTCTAAGCATGTAAAACTGGGCAGGAAATCTTCTTCAGCAATTTGGCTTCCAAAGTTTCCTTTTCCTCAAATCTAACTGGCTCCTGTGGTATTCGGGGACTTCTCTCTCAAGGCTGCTTCTAGAAGGTGAAGTGTGAGGACAACCAGACCTGTCTGCCCCATCTTCCATCCTCTGTCTTTCTTCAGACTTGTGCATGGTCCAAATTATCCTCAGAAGACTTAGGGTAAAAGCCTGTGGGAGGCAGGGGTTAACAACAAGGTCTCTATTCTTCGGGCTCAGCAAGCGAGCTGCTGAGAACTTAGCATCCAGGTCCACTCATTGTTTTAAATGCTGTTATTTCACCTGCGAACAGCACAGCTAATGACCATGAGGTTGCCAAGTCAAATTCTCAGTAGTAAGAGTCTCTACTTTGCATGCGTTTACACACATCTCTCAACAATTCATTTTTTCTTTCTTTCTTCCAATGGAATGAGCCCTCAAGCCGGTCACTACCTGCTCCTAATATTGCGGAACTTGAGCTACACAGAGTGACAAGGTAGAATCAGATTTCTGGGAGATACACACACAAGCCTGTAGCTGTTCTTGTGTTGCTCCTCTGAGGGTGGGCCAGCAAGCTGCAAGGCTTGGCTCACATTCTGCCGGCAGCTTTCAAACCTCAAGTTCTGCCTACTTAACGCAAACCAGCTTCTAAATCCTCTACCTACAATGCTTGGGGTATTTTCTCCTCAGCAGAGACCTCAAATAATTTAGTCAACACCAGTCACAGCAGAAGAAGCCCCTACCCACAGCTGTGGAGCCTTAGGGAAGAGTTCCAACACAGAGCACTAGGTGGCAGTCTTGTCTCATGCTCAGAAGACTCGGAAGCCACAAAGTGGGGAATGTCTCTCATTTCCTTGAGGGCTGTCCTGTCCCAGCCTCTGGGCTGTAATTTAATCACCTTCTCCCAAAATGTTGTTGGTAGGCATCCCTCGGGGTCCACTTCATATAAGTCTTTTTTTTTTTTGAAAGGGCTGTCTGGAATAGCTTAAGCAGCTTTCTTGAGAGTTGTGACTAACTTGTAGTTCTAGCAAGATGTGAAGAAAACAAAATCAGCTAGAACTAACCTATCCCTGCACTCTAAGTTCCAGCATTCTTCTGAAACAAGTCAGACTCCAGAATGAGTTGCAAGAATGCTTTTCATGCGGCTTGAGGGCAACGCAGGGCATGCAAACTTCACGTGTTGAGGAAGGCCCCCCCCCCCCCCCCCCAGCCACCCTCGGGGCTTTCTTAAAAGTCGAACTTCTGAAGTTGCCTGTTTCCCACAGCTGGGGCTGACCTGTGGCAGTGGAGAGAGGCCTGCACTGTGGTGGGGTTCTTCACAAAGGTAGCCAGTTAAAGATCTGGCACACTGAGGCTCTGTGGCAAGCTAGGAGAAGCCTGAGGTTAGGAGCCCATTAGGTTGGGCCATTAGAATTTAGTGGTTGAATAAGCCGTCTTCTGTCCCATCCTAGTGTGGATTCCTTAAGGTCCAGTACCCAACTCTGAAACCATCTGAGTCTTTCCCGCCCCTTCAACTTCCTTTCCTCTCCTTCAACCCCAACATACACAAAAGAGAACATTTTAATAGGTTCCTCCGCACCCATAATTGATTTCAAATGTTCCCTGAAGTCGCCCAGCTGAGTAACCACCTGCAGCTCTGAGCTACAGGACACTGAGTCACTAAGTCCATGGTAGGTTGGAGCCCAAGCCCAGAATTCTTAATCCAACAAATATTTATTGAGTGCCTTGCCATGCGAAGTGTGGCAAGTCATTGAGGGGGAATACAAAGATGTCTGAGAAGCTGTCCTTGACATGAAGTTGGTCCACTGAGTGCCCAAACTTTACAACATGTCCCAGTGTAGAGCCTGGGGACAGAGAGACTTGGAATCGAATTTTTCTTTAACATGGAATGGGACAATCCTCTCTGGCAATCCATCCAGCTTCTTTTTTTTTCTTTCTGAGGTATGCTTTTCTCAAGTTGAAAAATCAAAGAAAAAATAGAGTTACATATATATGATTCCATACAAAAAAATTCCCAAACAAAAGAGAAATAAGGAGACTCCCTGAAGAGAGAAGTGTTTCCAATAAGTTGTGTAGATAAACTGCCCAAAAAAGATTTGGCTGTGGGACTTGTATACTTACCAGAGACATTAAAGGTATTTAGCAGGAGACATACAAATTAAATTAATTTCTAATTTAATTCTAATTTTTTCTCAGCAGAGATATTAACATAAATTCCTTAGGAATTTAATTTTATAATCTATGAAACAGGAATGACTGTAAGTAGTTTTTTTCTTCATAATATGTCTCAAGATAAAAATGGTAGACTAAAATGTCCAAAAGAATCAATTTATTTCATTAAAAAGTTTCATCTGATTTTTTTTTTTTTGAGCAGCACTATTTCAGATCAGTTGGGCAATGGTGCTAAAATGTTTATTTTCCTGAGTCATAAGCCTTATTGAATATCGCATGAGATCTGTGCTTACTTAATAGAAAAAAATGTACACATTTATTTCCTCATAGTCAGAGACTGCTGACATCGCATCCCTCTTCAGTACCTATTGCTAGCTTTTCTGTGTGAGTGACGTGTACGGGATGACGTTTTAGGGTAAAGAGTTCTTGATTATTGGGAATGCAGGGCTTTGGAGAAGGCATGAGGGCATGGATGGAGGAGAATATACAAGGAGACCACGTTGATCCTAAAGACTCACATAGGCAAGGAGCAGCATCTGCCTCTTCCCCAGAGCTTCCTTGAAAACAGGGGTCTCTGTCCAACTGAGTGTTTGTCCTCACTAGACCCCGGGGAGCCACCCTGTTCCTCTCAGATCCAACTTCTGGATCAGGACTCTGATTCCCAGGGAAGTTTGTAGTGGAAATTTTTCTGGCACCCGAGATGTTCATGTGAGGGTCCATGGTTGTCTCCTGTGGTGGCCCTGCCCTCTCTAGTGACCGGGAGATGCATAAAGGGAGCATAAGACCTGATGGTTGTGACTTAACATCTTTGCTTTAGAGTTTTCATTGTAAGACTCCATGGCTCCTG